GTTCTGTGATATGGTAGGGCATAACAACTTCTTTGTCATTTTTATTTATTCCAGCCTCACACTGAAGCATCCTCCCGACTTCTTTGCATTGGGTTCCGCTATATATACACCGTATTTTATATATTTAATGTATATTCTCACTTCTAGCAAATACGTACCCTGGACATTTCTTTTTTGAACCACCAGAATAGAATTGATGCATCTCTGGTACAGCGCATGGTAATAATTTCATTCTACAACTTATGCCCGTTATATACTTTGGGTTGAAGTGATGAGAACATATTTTGGCGTTTGGGTTTAAAGTGATCCCAAAAATCGTACTCCACTTCAACCTCTTCGTCTCTTCCTTGGGTACATTGAAAAATGTTGCTTGTCGTTCACTATCCTTTCTTTTGCAAACAGCACAGCACCTCATATTCTGTTTTTTTTATTTGAATTATATCACAAAATTTGATTTTTATATTTTTGTGTTTATTTTTTCCTCTATGATGTTTGAATTTCTGTTATGTATTTCTACGGCGAATTCGAATTACAACAACTTGTTTGACATATCAAGTTGACTACAGCTGGCCTGAAAGGGTTACCTTGTAATTCTACCATGGTGTTGGGGGTATTATAAGTTTGATTGGGCCAGAATTTATGTAACACCTCGAAATATTGGTTTCCCATATAGGAAAGTATATATGGATCTTCCTAGCTCGCCGAGCTGATTCGATCTAGCTATGTATGTCCGTCCGTCCGTCTGTCCGTCTGTCCATGTTAATTTGTAATCACTCTACAGGTCGCAATTATGGCCCGATCTTCACGAAATTTAGAATGGAGGTGGGGCTAGGGTCAGAACAGAACCCTATTTCTTTTGGAGATGATCGCCAAATGTTTAGGGGTTGAAATGGACCAAAAACTGAAAAAATGTCGGATTTTGCAGTAGCTATACAGGTCGCAATTATAGACCAATCGACGCGGAACTTCGCTTGTAGCTAGAGTTTAGGGCGGGGAAGAAGCCTACCTATTTGGGTGGTCATCGGATAATATTTAGCGGGTAAAATAGACCATATCTTTTGTGTTGAAAAAATTCAAAATTTTTCATTAAACCGCGAATATTTTAAATCCCGGCGAAATCACAAAGCCATGACAAGGTTACTTCTGACCTTTACATTGATGTTAACATCCAACAAAATGGATATATAGCAAAATATGTGCGATATATATGTCTATCAAAGAAGATATGCTTGAAAGATCTCTTATATGTCGAGAACGGCTGAACTGATTTCGACAGTTCTCATTAATTCAGACTGGCCTCTTGGCAGGAAAGAAAAAACGTCTAAAAAATCGCATAAAAATATCTCTCTAAAGATGAAAATATTGATTTTGTAAAATTTTCTCATATTTTTTCAATTTTGTCATATTTTTGGCATATTTTCATTTTGAATTAAACATTTGGTAATATTTCTACAGCTAACAAAACTAAGTAGTTAGGATATCAGGATATCATATACAGATCGCATTTATGGCCCGATCCTTACGAAATTTTGCATGGGGATAAGATGAGGGTCAGAATAGATGCCTACTCTTTTTGGAGATGATCGCCATATATTTAGGGGTTGAAATGGACCAAAAAACTACAAAATTGTCTGCAGGCCGTAATTATCGCCCGATCCTCACGCACATTTGAATGGGGGTTACCGGAGATTGCAAAAGCCAAGCAGTTTTGGATGGCCATCCAAAAATATTCAATTTGTGAAGGAGTTTGCCAACTTTTGTAGACAAAATACAAAATAAATGTCCATTACAGTGACTTCTTGGAGAATTCACAAATACAGAAAAGACGCACTTCTGACTATTTCGTTAACGCTGATTTAGTTGAAGAATATAGTCAAATGGCTGTATCTCATATAGATGCGTTTCAGTCAAAAACCAATAATAAATGTTAATCTTTTGCCACTTTTGAGAGATTATGGGTCTTTGGGAAATATTGGTTCCAGATCTAGGAAGACCATTTAAGTGCACTATCTACCAATAAATTGGAAATGAGCAAATTAGTTGAAGTTGCTATTATTCGAAAATTAGAGAACGGAACCTGATGGTTTTCTTTTATTATTTGTCACAATATCTTGTGGAATTCTTTCGAGTATCTCGCCTATATAAACTGTATGGTTTATTGTAGTGTTGTAGGGTATTCAACGGTCGGCCCCGCTCGACTGTAGCCTTTGCTTACTTGTTTCATTTTGAATTAAACATTTGGTAATATTTCCAGAGCTAACAAAACTAAGTAGTTAGGATATCAGGACATCATATACAGATCGCATTTATGGCTCGATCCTTACGAAATTTTGCATGGGGATAAGATGAGGGTCAGAATAGAAGCCTACTCTTTTTGGAGATGACCGCCATATATTTAGGGGTTGAAATGGACCAAAAAACTGCAAAATTGTCAGCAGGTCGTAATTATCGCCCGATCCTCACGCACATTTGAATGGGGGTTACCGGACATTGCTAAAGCCAAGCAGTTTTGGATGGTCATCCAAAAATATTCAATGTGTAAAGGAGTTTTCCAACTTTTGTAGACAAAATACGAAAATGTCCATTCCGGTGACTTTTTGGAGAATTGACAAATACAGGAAAGACGCACTTCTGACTATTTCGTTAACGCTGTTTTCGTTGAAGAATATAGTCAAATGTCTGTATCTCAGTCAAAAACCAATAATAAATGTTAATTTTTTGCCACTTCTGAGAGATTATAGGTTTTTGGGAAATATTGGTTCCAGATCTAGGAAGACCATTTAAGTGCAACATCTACCAATAAATTGGAAATGAGCAAATTAGTTTAAGTTGCTATTATTCAAAAATAAGAGAACGAAACCTGATGGTTTTCTTTTATTATTTGTCACAATATCTTGTGGAATTCTTTCGAGTATCTCGCCTATATAAACTGTAGCTATTGTTTACTTGTTTTCTCTATATTAGATGAAGAATGAAAATGGAATACTTCGGTCAACCCATTTTAACATTTTCTATGAAGTGAAGGAAGTCGCAAAATTATGTAACACCTCGAAATATTGGTTTCCCATGTAGGAATGTATATATGAATCTTCACATCTCGCCGAGCTGAGTCGATCTAGCTATGTATGTCCGTCCGTCCGTCTGTCCATGTTAATTTGTAATCAACCTACAAGTCGCAATTATGGCCCGATCCTCACGAAATTTAGAATGAAGGTGGGGCTAGGGCCAGAATAGAAGCCGATTGCATTTGGAGATGATCGCAATACATTTAGGGTTTAATGAACCAAAAACAGAAAAATTTTCCTGATCACACAATTGAAACCAATCGACACGGAATTTTGCAGGAGAAGAGTGTTAAGGTCAGTGAAGAAATCTAGCATTTTGAATGGCCATTGAATTATATTTAACTGTAAAATGGACCACAACTACAAGCAGCACGACGTAGTGTGTAAAAATTTGGCAAATGTCCCTGGTCAAAAAGCTAAGGGTAATATCTGGGCTGTGCTCCGTGATATAATTTCAAAAACGAAATCTTCCTAAATGGATTTGGACATAAGGGGACTTCTAACATATTGTAGTGTTGTAGGACCGAACTTTCAACACCCTCCACCATCTGGGACGACGAGAACCTGCATAGGCAATTTTCTGTCAGTACCTATTATGAACTTCAAATACAAAATTTCAAACAATTTCGGTGAATAATGTATCTAAAATCGTCAAAATATCGAATTTAGGGAGGTACTGATAAATGGGACCTATACAAAAACCTGGACTTGCATAGACAATCTTCTGTCATAGACTGTAGTTCTATTTACGAACTTTAAAAACGAAATTGGAAACAAGTCCAGTGAATAATGTTGCTAAAATCCTCCAAATACCGAATATTGGCAGTTACCGTGATATGGGCGATAAACGATATTGTGGACCTATATAGACAATACTCTTCAATAAAGTACATAAAAGGAACTCCTTTTGTGGATTTTCAGACAATTTCATTGAAAATTTTGGCTACAATCATCAAAATACCAAATATACGGAGGCATCATTATATTAGGGATATCGGACCTATATAGACAATACTTTTCCAGGGGGTAAAGTACTTAGAAGGAACTCATTTTTGAAATACAAGACAATTGTATTGAAAAATTTGGCTACAAAATACTGAATAACGTGGGGTACCGTTATATGCGGTCTATACGATATGGTGGACAGATATAGCCCATCTTGGAATTTTAACTGCCTGCAGACAAAAGACTGATCTGTGCAAGATGTTAGTTTCATATCTTTTTTCGTTTGACTCTAGCGTGATTGCAACAGGCGGAATCTTAGAATTTTACGTTGATCAAGAATATATGTATATACTTTGTTATGTCTAAAATTATTATTTCGATAAGTTACAAACGGAATGACGAACTTAAGATACCCTCCATACTATGTATGGTGGAGGGTATAAAAATTGAAGATAATAATTGTAAGCGAAAAGGCAGCGTTTGTGTCTCGACAATTTTGGAAATATATATATATAAGAATAGATATTTATAAAACAAATGTTACGTCTTGAACTTATGTATATATCGGAAGCTACGGGACAAACATTAGATTCATCATTTGTGAATATAAAAATATACTATAAGAATCCTATGTTCCTGTTAATTTGATTGATTTTGTAGGAGAGAGAGAGAGAGTTAAAATGATATGATTCAACAACAAATGGTTTTCCGGCTCTCAAGAATGTCTCCGGTCCCCCCAATAGGATGTTTTTAATTACCTCCTTCTTTATTTTCTTATTTTGGTTACTTTGTCATTTTATGGTTTTGTTTATCGAGCAGTCACATTTTTTTTATGGGCAATAAAGACTAGTAACAACCATAACATTTCGAAGTGGCCACAACAATAATAACAACAACAAAGGCATCGTCAAATCGAGAAGAAGAAGATGAAGAAGAAAATCAAACCGTGTTTAGAAAATCCTCCTAAAAGAAAGTTGCATTTCATTTCGATTTGTCTGTCTGCATTTGTTTGTATTTATTTTTGTTGTTGTTGGTGTTTTCTTCTCCTTTTCCAAACAAACATTTGTAAATTGCAAATTCTGCAAACTGCAAGGCCGAGCCAACGAGAAATGAAGTGTTTGCGAACATTTGCCATATACAAATATTTGACGTCCGCCGTCGATTACCAACCAACCAACCATCCAGGCAGCAAATTTTCATTCATTAACGCCAATATGATGATCATTTTCGACATACCGGCATAACAAACAACAACGACAACAAACATATTGACAAGAAGAAACCCATGCCCCAAAGAAGTTTGCGTATGCTTGCAATTTTCTCTAACCGTAGGTGTGGTGCAAGCAGGAGGAGGAGTAGCGGAATGCTACCACTAGAATAGGTTGAGAGACAACAAAGGAAAAGCTGAAGAAAAAACATGTGGAATTTTAATTCGTAACCGAAATAAATTGTATGAATAAATTTCTTACAATATTGTTGCTTCGTTCTTCCACTCGATTTGTGTGACTGACATGCCATGATGCGGTCAATAAATATTTGAATATATCTCCTCGTCGATTACGCCGATGCAAATGTGTTAAAACAAAAAGTAAAGGGCATACATTGGGAGCTATATAAGTAAAGGGCATACATTGGGAGCTATATGATACCATTTCCAAAACCTGAATTCCAGATACCAACAGAGACCCCTACATGAAATTTTGGGATTCCAGCTCTATCCCTTCACCCAATACCCCATGTAGTACCACTTCGTACTTTTCGAACAATTATGGTACACTTCGTACTTTTCAAACAATTATGGTACACATTGGCAAAAGCATCTCCATATCTAAACCTCAGACATTAACAGTGATATCTATAAAATATTTCAGGATTTAAGTTCTATTCCTTCATCTAATACCAAATTTAAGTCTATTAAGTACTTTTCGTACAATTATAATAAAAATTTCCAAAACCAATTATATATACAAACAGAGACATAAATATCAAATTAGAGGATTCCAGCCTTATCCCTTGACCCAGTACCAAATGTAGTACCATTAAGTACTTTTCGTACAAATATATTACGCGTTTTCAACCCATCGCCACATTTCAAACATTCAGTACTTTTCGCACTAATATATATTGCACATATAGACACTTTAGTACTTTTCGTATTATTTTTGTACGATTTTTCAAAAACTCCGCCTTGTCGCAGGCCTACGCACCAAGACTGAACCTCGTGCAAAATTTTAAGATTCTAGCTTCAGCCGTTTCGTCTCGGCGTTGATTCTAGATCAGTTAGTCAGTCAGTTATTTCACTGCTCTTTTATTTTTATACCCTCCACCACATATAGTATGGAGGGTATATTAAGTTCGTCATTCCATTTGTAACTCATCGAAATAATAATTTTAGACCCAAAAAGGTATATATATTCTGGATCAGCATAAAATTCTGCGAAGATTTAGCCCTGTCCGTCCGTCTGTTGTAATCACGCTGCAGTCAAAACGAATTGAGATAGGAAGCTAAAATTTTGCACAGATCTGTCTTTGTCTGCAGGCAGGTCAAGTTCGAATATGGGTATATATCGTTCCACTATATCGATAGCCTCCATATAACGGTACCCCCTCCCCCCTCGATATTCGGTATTTTGATGATTTTAGTCACATTTTTCAATGGAATTGTCTGAAATTGTACACAAGGAGTTTTTTCCGAGCACTTTGCCCCCTGGCAGAGAATTGTCTATATAGGTCCACGATATCGTATATCACCCATATAATTGCACACAAGGAGTTTCAACTTTACTCCTTGGCAGAGAATTGCCTATAAAGGTCCACCATATCGTATATCCCCCATATAACGGCATCTCCCGATAGTCGGTATTTTGTTGATTTTAGCCACATTTTTAACGGAATTGCATTAAAATGCACACAAGGAGTTCCGTGTGAGTACATTATCCTCTGGAAGAGAATTATCAATATAGGTCCAAGATATCCTATATCCCCCATACAATGGTACCCCCGTTTTCCGGTATTTTAATGATTTTAGCCACATTTTTAAATGGAATTGTCTGAATTTCCACACAAGGAGTTCCTTGTGAGTACTTTATTCCCTGGAAGAGAATTATCTATATAGGTCAACGATATCGTATAGCCCCCATATAACGGTACCCCCCGATATTCGGCATTTTGATGATATTAGCCACATTTGTTAATGGAATTGTCTGAAATTCTACACAAGGAGTTCCGTGTGAGTACTTTATCCCCTGGAAGAGAATTATCTATATAGGTCGAAGATATCGTATAATCCCCATACAACGGACCCACCCAGATTTTCGGTATTTTGATGATATTAGCCACATTTGTCAATGGAATTGTCTGAAATTCTACACAAGGAGTTCCGTGTGAGTACTTTATCCCCTGGAAGAGAATTATCTATATAAATCCAAGATATCGTATAATCCCCATACAACGGACCCCACAATGGACCCCCACCCCCCAGATTTTCGGTATTTTGATGATATTAGCCACATTTGTTAATGGAATTGTCTGAAATTCTACACAAGGAGTTCCGTGTGAGTACTTTATCCCCTGGAAGAGAATTATCTATATAAATACAATATATCGTATAATCCCCATACAACGGACCTCCCCCTCCCCCCGAGATTTTCGGTATTTTGATGATTTTAGCCACATTTGTCAATGGAATTGTCTGAAATTCTTCACAAGGAGTTCTTTCTGAGTTCTTTGTGAGTAAGAATTGTCTAGAAAGAGAATATTGGGATATACGATATTGTGGACCTAGTATCGTAGAACCTTCATATACCACACCTTCCGATATTCGGTATTTTTAAGATTTTAACAGAATTCTTAATGGATTTTTTTTTTTTTTTTTTTTGAAAATTTCCTAATTCGTCTCATATAGTGGAGGGTATTATAGTGTGGGTATAGAATTGTTGTAATTTTTCCTCGAGTGCAACTTACGCACAAAACAAATCATTGGTCACGATGGCGGATACAACAACCGCCAATTTTGAAATTGATACTCCGTCATTTTGTCTATTCAAAGCGTATAATTTGTAAATAAATAGAATATTTTACATGGCATGAAGAATTCGAAATAGGAAGAGGGTGGGAAGATGATGGCATGGTGCGAGTTTAACTCACAAATAAGATAGCATTAAGAAGTTAGTTGTTTGCACATGCGCCCATTTACAGCCCCCAAAAATCAAAACACACGCTTACATATGTATGTACACATACAATCACTGGCTGCGAAGCAATTGCTGTCCAGAGCAGCATCATCATCATCAATATGCGAGTAATCAAGTGGGCCACAACTTTGGTGGTAATGCTGAGTTATTTTAGAAACTATTCACGATCAGAAGATCTCTTTGGCTTTAGCATAGATTCAGTCAGTATAGATGTGTGCCTGTGTCCATGGCTTATCGTTAGCTTGTTTGGTGTTATTTTCGTTTGCTTCTTCTTCTTCTTCTTCTTCATTATTCACATTCGAATATTTATTTATGTGTTGTGTCCGCCAATCGATGTCTGCATGTCTGCTTTCAATTTCTTTTCGATTTAGAAGTAACCGAATCCGCCTAATTGAATTTTTATGTTTACGCTTCTCCGCATTTTATATCACTTCGATTTCGTATCACTTCTACTTTCTTTTAGCTACACAGAACTACAAAAAAACATAACCAGAGGGGTATGAATTTGTTTCCATTGAAGATGGCACAAACACCAACTTCATGGGAATAGCTCAACAAAAAACTGCAACCTTACAACAACAAATTTTATCGATATTAAAAAATGAACTTTGACATTGGATATTAACGCATCAAAGTCCATCATTTGATCAGGTCTTGCAAAGGAGGAAATAACGTCTCTAAATGGAGCAAGGCTGCACACGACAACAGAAAGATAATCCTGTGGCTAATTATTGTCAATAAGTTGTTGAACTAAAAGTTCAAAGCGACCGATAACATAGACGACGTTATAACCAGTGCCGATTTTATGATTGCCTTTGATTTGAATCTGGATATAAAACAACCTGTGTCTATCCGGTAACACGTAAAAAAATATTAAGTTCAGCCGGGCCGAACTTGTAAAACATTGGGTAAACATTTTTATAGAAAAGTATTTGGATTTAAAGTGTTATATTGGGGCCATACCAAAACGGAAATCTGTATAGACATTTTTATACTAAAAGGATTTTTATCTATTGCGAGTCTTTAATACCAGATTTGAAAAAATTTCATGGGTAAATGTGACTAGAATTATGAAAATACCGAATAGTATGTGCGCTATAGGAAATAGTGAACCTAGATAATGAATATTCTGCCACCGGAGCTGGAACCCATTATGAAATAGAAATACAACATTTTAGACAAGGGTACCAGAAGGAGTAGACCGATGTATTCCATCTTCACAGGAGATCTTGTGTTAGTAGAAATTATGGGATTTGTGAAATATGAAGATGTTTATTCCGGAATTTATAATCATTTTGGTTATTCAAAAATTTGACCCTTTGTGGGAGAGGTACCAGAAGCAATAGTCCGAACTCTACCATCTTTATAACAGATCTTGTGTTGATAGAAATATTGAGATATGCCATGTCTAAATGTTAATTTTGCGTCTTATAAGCTTCACGGATATTCGCAATTTTGACCTTTTGTGGGGAAAGAGTGGACCGATATTTCTCGAAAGTGATCTAATACTAATGAAAATCTTAGGATTTGCAAAGTTGGAACAAATTCGGATTATTCTTTCCCTTTTGTGCGGTAAAATATTTTTTTATACTCTCCACCATAGTATGGAGAGTATATTAAGGATGTCATTCCGTTTGTAACACCTCGAAAGATATAGTTTAGAACCCACAAAGTATATATATTCTTGATCAGCATTCTATGTCGAATTAGCGTCTGTCCGTTTATCCGTCTATGGAAATCACTCTAGCTTCAGAACGAAATAAAGTAGGTTGATAAAAGTTTACTCAAATGTATATTATGTCTGCAGGACTTTTAGTATTGAAAATGAGTAATGTAGGTCCTCGTATTGGTATAGCCCCCACATAACGGTACCTACCGATATTCGGTATTTTAATGATTTTAGCGACATTATTCACTGGAATTGTTTCAAATTTGGTATTTGAAGTACGAAATGGATACTACAGCCTATGACAGAAAATTGTATGTGAAGGTTCACGCCTTCGTATAGCTCCCATATAACCGAACCTCTCGATATTGGATATTTTGATGATTTCAGCGATATTATTTACCGGAATTGGTTCAAATTTGGTATTTGAAGTTCGTAATGGATACTACAGCCTAAGACAAAAAATTGTCTGTGCAGGTCCACGTTTTCGTATAGTCCTCATAAAACGCTATCTCCCGATATTCGGTATTTTGATGATTTTAGCGACATTATTTACCGGAATTTGGTATTTGAAGTTCGTAATGGATACTACAGCCTATGAGAGAAAGTTGTCTGTGCAGATCCACGTCTTCGTATAGCCCCCTCATAACCGTACCTCACCATACTCGGTATTTAGATGATTTTAGTT